GTTATTTTCCTTAGAGTAGAGAAGGCTGAGGGGGAGCTGATTGAGGCATTAAAAAGTTCAGAGGGGCATAGGTATGATAGATAGGGAAAAATCTACTCCCCTCAGTACGTGGCTCAATAACAAGGTTTTAAGGCAAGGAGCAGGAGAGTTAGAGAGAATTTGAGGAATTTGTTTTTCATCCAGGGCATTGTGGGAATTTGGAACTCATTGCCTGAAGGGGTGACAGAGGTGGGAACTCTTGAGAGATTTAAGAATGACTTAGATGAACATTTTGAATATTATAGCATACAAGGCTATGGACCAAGTGCTGGAAAATGTGATTAGATTGATTAATGTTTGATAACTGGCATGGACACAATGGGCTGACGAGTCTCTTTCCGTGCTGTAAACTCTCTGTGAATCTAAGAATAAAAGGAAAGTGCAGGATAGGCTGGAAAACAGGAGTGAATAAATGACCAAAGGAAAGATGGTATAGGGCAAGTATCAGAACAAAATCTAGATGTAGAGGAGATGCAAGTAGGAAAACAGTATCATTATCAAAAAATAATCAGCATCAGTAAAATGGTATCTTCACAGCAAAAATAACAAAACGGGGCAGAGGTTTCAATCTGAAATTACCGAATTCAATGTGGAGTGCAGATAGCAGTAAAGTGTCCAACACAATACATGGTACTGAGTTTCTTCAGCATTTTCAGTTTTTATAATTGCAGCACATGCTTTGATTTCTCCCATTTCCTGATTAAGTGACATCACAAACAGTAAGTTTTGAAGGGAAGATGAAGAAAATTCCTTTCCATCAGACACCGCCTCCTACTCCTACCCCCGTCCCCAAGTCTAGACTGCTCTAAATTAGAAGCTGGTGGAAGCAGATTCCTTAAGTAATTTTCAAATGGAATTGGCCAAGTGCTTTTAAACAGAATTATAATGAAAAGGATAGAATGTGGGCCTGCTCTTTCAAAGAGCCAGTGTGAGGAGAATGGGCTGAGTGGCGTTACTCAATTCTATGTGCTTATTGTAAGTTTGCAGATGAATCTAATATTGGAGGTGTAGTGGACAGCGAAGAAGGTTAGCTTAGAGTACAATGGGATCTTGATCAGCTGGGCCAATGGCCGAGGATTGGCAGATGGAGTTTAATTTAGATAAATGTGAGGTGCTGCATTTTGGAAAGGCAAATCAGGGCAGGACTTATACACTTAACGGTAATGTCCTGGGGAGTGTGGCTGTACAAAGAGACCATGGAGTGCAGGTTGATTGTTCCGTGAAAGTAGAATCACAGGTAGATAGAATAGTGAAGAAGGTGTTTGGTATGCTTGCCTTTATTGGTAAGGACATTGAGTATAGAAGATAGAAGGTCATGTTGCAGCTGTATAGGACTTTGGTTAGGTCACTATTGGAATACTGCATGCAATTCTGGTCTCTCTGCAAAAGGATGTTGTGAAATTTGAAATGGTCCAGAAAAGATTTACAAGAATGTTGCCAGGGTTGGAGGGTTTAAGGTCCAGGGAGAGGCTGAACAGTCTGGGGCTATTGTCCCTGGAGCGTCGGAGGGTGATCTTATAGAGGTTTATAAAATCATGAGGTGCATGGATAGGGTAAATAGACGAGGTCTTTTCCCTGGGGTGGGGGAGTTCAAAACTAGAGGGCATAGGTTTAAGGTGAGAGAGGAAAGATTTAAAAGGGATCAAAGGGGCAACTTTCTCACGCAGAAGGTGGTGCATGTATGGAATGAGCTGCCAGAGGAAGTGATGGAGGCTGGTACAACTACAACATTTAAAAGGCATCTGGATAGGTATATGAATAGGAAGGGTTTACAGGGAGTTCTGAGGAAGGGTCACTGACCCGAAATGTTAACTCTGTTTTCTCCTTCACCGATGCTGCCAGACCTCCTGAGCTTTTTGAGCAACTTTGTTTTTGTTCAGGGTTTAGAGGGATATGGGAAATGCTGGAAAATGAGACTAGATTTATTTCGGATATTTGTTCGGCATGGAGAAGTTGGACTGAAAGGTCTGTTTCCGTACTGTATATCTCTATGACTGTGTAATCATATGATGTAGCTGATTTAAGATGATTTTTAGGAAGATTAGAGAAGTCATTTGGAAAGAAATCTTTCACACCAAGGGTGGAATTTGCTGTCTGCTTTGGTGATGAAGACAGAAACCCTCACCTCATTTAAAATTAATCTGGATCTGTGCCTTAAATGCTGTAACTTGCAGCAGACCAAATGCTCAAAGGTGGGATGAGAGTGAGCTGCACATTTTTTTCACCCAGTTAGCACAGACACGATGGGCTGACTGGCCTCTTTCTGTGCCATAACTTTTCTACAGTTCTATGTTTCTACAAATTAAGGACACTTCATTTAGCTTAATGCAAAACACTGTTCTTACTAGGCAAGGTATCTGGTGCCAAGCGTGTTGTCAGTCAAATTTTTATTTGCTCCTAGTTTTTCAAAATGACTGGCTACGCAGTTTGGATAGGAAATGAAGTAGTTTCAGTCAATGCAGAAGCTCAGGAGTGCTAATCAGCAACATATCGTGTTCTAAGCACAATGGCATTAAGGTGCCCTCTGCAGCCTTGTTTCAAATATTGCAGGCTAAACAATCTAGCCCTTGAATTAAGGTATAAGGAGTTGGGTTTGTTCAGTTGCTCTTACAGCTGGTTTATATTGCAGAGTGATGCCAACCATGTGCTGACCTATTATCCTCCTAAGATCAATCTACTCTGCATATCCTACATTTTACGATCCTCCATGTGCCTATCCAACAGTCGCTTAGAAGTCTCTAAAGTCTCTGACTCCACTACCACTGCTGGCAGCACATTCCACACATCCACCACTCTCTGTGTGAAGAAACTACCTTTGACATCTCCCCTATACCTTTCTCCAATGACCTTAAAATTATACCCCCTCGTAACAGTCATTTCTGCCCTGGGAAAAAGTCTCTGACTATCCACTCTATCTATGCCTTTCATCATCTTGTAAACCTCTATCAAGTCACCTCTCATCCTGCTTTGTTCCAATGAAAAAAGCCCCAGCTCTCTCAACCTTTCCTCATAAGACCTGTCCTCCAGTCCAGGCAGCATCCTGGTAAATCTCCTCTGCACCCTCTCTAAAGCTTCCACATCTTTCCTATAAGGAGGTGACCAGAACTGAACACAATATTCCACGTGTGGTCTAACCAGAGTTTTATAGAGCTGCAGCATAACCTCACGGCTCTTAAACTCAATTCCCCTGCCATCTTATATTGCAGTCATGGTATCTTATGGTTGCAAAGATCTGCTGGAGCTGAGGATTCATAGCTTCTCAGAGATCAGGAATTTGGGAAGCCTGGAAAAAAATAGCTTCCACTGGAAAACACTAAATGCATTTGGAACACAGATTATGCTTCTTTATTGTCACAATTAAGTATAATTCTCTTGTTAATATAATTGAGGTTTTATTGTTTTAGAAATTTCTTTTGAAATTTATATCCAGTATTGTATCTTGATAATGAGAATCCAAGAAGACGGTATTTTTGGAGAATCTTCTTAATTGCCGCTGCTTTTTAAAAACTTGATAGATTTTACTGATTGCCAATTTTGATTCAAAATATTCATGCGACATCAACAACTTTTTATGGGCATTTGTGCAGCAGAATTTTCTCCTCCTAATTATGTCAATACATTTAAAAATTAGGGGTTATTTTGTTGCAAATGGTTTGGAACTCAGAACCTGGGTCTATGAACATATTTTAAAGTTGAGGTTGATTTGTTCTAGCTAGGCAAGGAACTCCATTGGTAGATGGGAATGTGGAATTCAAAACAAAATCAGATGAGCCGTGATCTTATTGAATGTCTTGAAGAGCCAAATGGTCCACTTCTGTTCCTAACGCACATGCTCTGATTTTGATGGAGGTGAAAGATTAGTTGTTGGAGGGAAGGGATTAGTGACCAATTAGTGGCCAGGGATTGGTGGGGTGCAGCATGGTGTTGGCAGTTGTTGACTATCAGCAAGCCTGTAAAAAGGCCTCACTATTTACTCCCTTTTAAGGTTTCCAGCAAAGTTATTGGGCAGGACAATAACTATCTTGAACCCTTGGGCAATCAGAATTGACTTACTAACCAGTCACCACCCTTCACCTCCTGTGGTACAGTTTGTAGTTGCTGTTTGAAGAGCTTGATGGTGGCAGAGTAGGATGCGCCGGTCGGCGCTCCTCTGCTCGCCAGATCGGAGCCCCTTTCCCCTCTTTTTCCATTTCTCCCTTCCAGAGTGTGGAGTTGCAGAGGACTAGAGCAAGTGGGTTGAGACCCACGAAGAAAGGAGGGAGCAGTGTGGCCTTGTACTCTGGGTCTGCAGGAACGCCCTGGATCAGCACGTGGTCTGTGACAGCGTGGGGAAGCAGCCCCTGGAGCAGCACGCAGGCAGTGTCCTGGACAGAGACCGGACTGAGGGGGCAATCCTTACATTAGAACATGGTAATGTTAACTCCTTAATATATTCCTATTTTTAAACTTATTTTCAACTATGTAATTAAGCAATTACTTTTATTCCTCTGCTGTATCCAAGAATTGTACCTAGGTACTTGTACCTAAGATGTCATCATAAGAAGGCAGACATTGTAAAAGTTTTTCACTGTACTCCTACAATAGGGCACATGTGACAGTAAAGGATATTGTATTGAAATTTGGCATTTTTTACATTTGGCCTCATGAATGCAAGATGAAATTTTCTCTTTCCACCAATACCATGTGAAATTAGTACATATCAAGATGGAGTGTATAAAATTCACCATTTTTCACTGATCTTTCCTCATAAAATGAGCAATTCCTCAACGTATAAACAATGACCTTATCCCAGTCCCATGGGTAACTGCAAAGCTGTTCATTTTGCACATATACCACCATTAATATTACATGGCGTCATTATGCTGATTTGGTATTTTGGAAGAAAAATTCTGCACAAAATTCTATAAAGAAAACTTGAGAACCATAACAAAAATGAATAAAATAGAAGAGGACATACAGAATTGGATATAAGCGGTAGTCATGTTTACATATTTTTAAAAATGCATCTTCCATCCAAAAGTAAAGTGAATTTACCAGATTGTCCAACTACTGTCATGTGTACATGAAAAATTTTAAGAGTCACGCAACACAAAGACTACATCAACAACAGAAGTCATATATAATAATAAGAAATGTAAAATAAAGACAAAGTTCATCACAGTTCAGTTAGCAGCTGCTGTGCTTAGGGAAAGCTGATCAAGGAACGATGGACCATCCTGAAGAAGCAGCCGGGGTAAGACCGCCATGCTGGGCCACTGGAATACTAGTTAGAAGACTCCACCAAAGACAACCAAGCTAGCCAAGGCCACCACTCCAGGCCACTGAAATACCTGGAAGCCAAAGTCCTCCGAACGGGGATGCCGGCCACGCCAGGAGACTACCACTTCTCCTCTGCTAGGTACCTGGGCCTAGCTGCTGACCTGGAGCCTCGGCCTAGCCAGCGAGCCTAGGCTGGGGGAAAGTCAGTCTGCGACCTGCTCCTTGCTCGATGGGAAACCCCAGGCTGGGGTGGAGCTTTGTCTGGGTCATCCTGGTGTTGCTGCTGCTGCAAATCTCCTTCTTCACCTGCCACTCTCCAGACTTAATCAAAAAGAAAATGAAGAAAAAACAAAAAGAAATAAAGGATGAAAGAAAAAGGAAGGAAAAAATAAGACAAAGAAAGCCGACAGGATCAAACGAGCCCCAGGTTCAGTACACCTACTCTACCACCATGTTATGCATGCAGCTTCATAACTGGTATTTCTTTAAATATATACAAAATTACACTTTTGGCTTGTCTAGCATGTCAGGTAGCTACAAATTACAATGAATGGGATGTATAGAGGTAGCATAATTGCTTGTCATGATAAACAATGCTTGCTGATTGGGAAATTCATTTTAATATTGTTGGATTTCTTAGAATTGTACATTTGCTCAGTTATAAATAACATTACCCATACTTGCAATGTCTCATACAGCAGTACTTGGTAATGTGCTTGTTCACATACACAGATACATAATTTGCATTGTTCTGCCATGTGCACAGTTAAATTATTTACTGTTTTCTGGCCCTGCATTACATAGCAGAATGTCAAAATTTAACTTAAGATATAGACAAAAAAAACTCAAACTGGCAAATAACTGTATCACTACTAGGGAAAGCAGCTGTACCTATCCAAAAGGCCTATAAATATTTATTCACTTTTTTAATAAAAATATAAATGAATGCAAGTTGTTCCACTGGTTTTAGATTGTTCTTTCTTGGTTTAGTCCTCTCTCCAAAAAGGTATCTGTTATCCTGGAGCATTCTTCATGTTTTACCAACAATCCGCTGGTATCTTGAGGAGCAGTCATTCTTGGACACACTATTGACTGGCAATTTCACTTTGCGCAGTATCAAATCCAAGGAAGATTTCTTTTTCGCCTCAGTACACACCGAAGTATAGAAGCAAGTTGGACTAAAACCCCTAGCCAAATTTGGACTCATTGCAAGCCCACTGCACCTTCAAATTAATCTAGATAACGCAGCCAGCCCAGGGTAATATCACAAGGACTTTCCTTGTATCTAGCTCAATATCACCCATCTTATTATTCCTTGAGCTGTCTAAACATTATGGTTTGACTTTGGAAAAGGGCAACATAATGACCGTTTAAGTTTTTTACTAACATGAATAGAGAAATATCCCTTTGTTGGATTGGCACTTTAAACAACGCAACTCCTCTGTAGTCACTTTCAATTAAATTACACTAATTTATCTAGTATAATTTAGATTACTTTATATGGTAATTATAATAACTATATGCAAGATCGTCATGAACACTGCAACATGGAGCTACATTAATAAAACTAACACATTGACAAAAATCTGACAAGGTCAAAACAAACTGTAAAAGGATTTACACTTTTCTGTTAACTGGTTGACTGAAAAAAGTTATTCATGGAAAATCTCTCATTTGTAAAACACACCAATAATTGTTTTTTTTTTAGCATCTATGCCACATTAAAAATATTACAAATTAATTATCACAATTACTCAAGGTTTAACATTTTCTCAAAGATTTGCGTAATATCGACTCCGGTTTTGAAAATCCTTATAGGCATATTTTGCGTCTTTTTTATTATGTGGAATTCTTCCAAAAGGTTCAAGGTCATTAAAACACGTATCAAAAACCTCATCGACGGCTTTTTTTGCAGCTTCTTTACTGACTTTGCGAACGGCTAGGATGGAACGGAGGGCTCGTTCCCGCACACACTTCTGGATGGAAGAAGCAAAAGGTTAATATTAGAAATTTGATCTAAAATCGAATCTGTTAAAATTCATAGCAGCATAATTTAAACACAAATACAAAGGTGAAATTAATCCATTTTCGTGGAGACTAAATGGAATGTTTTGCATTATTTTAGGAGGGAATGCACCTTTCTAAATAATAAGTATGCAGATTCATATTCCTTCTTCCCCAATCATAAGACAATTTGTACAATAATGCTTGAAAGTTTATGCTCATCCCTCCACAGGGCAAAACTTTACTTGATCAGGAGGAACTCACTAGCATCCATGCTGCTTTTCTATCCTATACTTAGGAGCTGTGCATAAAGTGGTCATGGGTTACAGGTTGCTATTCCTTCTTCAGAGAGCAAGCAGCCAGATGACTTGATGCCCCTTTTATGATTAAGCTATTAACATGCTCCCAATGTTGTGCCATCTTTTTAAAAATATATATATGTGCAATGCAATACATTTCCCCTCTCCCAACAAAAAAACATACAATATCATGACACAAAACACTAGTATATAATTAACTTGTTAAGCATAGATGAACCAATGAAGAGACAAAAATGGAAATGAGTGCTTCTCTTTCATCTTATCAACACTAAATGCATACGGTAGAATAGACAGAGCATTCTAAACGTAGGTGTTGAACCCAATTGCATTTAGAACGCTACACTTTTAAGGAAACAAAATTACATAATTTCTTCCCTGCAAATGTCTAACTGGAGTGCAAATACCCTGAAAAAGCCAGACACAGGCACAAATCTCCTCCGGTCGTTCCCACCAACAATAACAATCAGAAAATCCATGTAAGCCCCAGACAGCTGGTGTAACAGGATTTCTGCCATAGTAACAAAGATCAATCAGGAAAATCTGGCTAGTTTGTAAAGTACTACACATTATTTAACACTCACTTGATGGTGTTCCTTTAGACCAAAGTTAAATCGAAGCAATTCATTCCCAAAGGTACATTCACCACTGAGATTAGCAGCTCGGATCTGTTGAAAATGTACAGGACAACTCATGTGAATATTCAGACTGGAGAGGTCTAGCACCTGGCATGACCATCACTTGTATAATTATCACACATGCAAGGTATATTTCACAACTGCATATGTCCAGTGTACACTTATTCAAAATAGCAGATAAAGAAGTTTGTTGTCAAAAAATAAATGTTTTTATTAACTAGACTAGCCCGAGAAACGCAATGGCTACAAGAACATATCAGAAGCTAGGAAGCCTGCAATGAGTAACTCACCTCCTGACTCCAAAGCCTGTCCACCATCTACAAGGCACAAGTCAGGAGTGTGATGGAATACTCCCTATTTGCATGGATGAGTGCAGCTCCAACAATCAAGAAACTTGGACATCATCCAGGACAAAGCAGTCCACATGAGTAGCACCACATCCACAAACATCCCTCCACCACTGACGGTCAGAAGCAGCAGCTTGTGCCATCTGCAAGATGCACTGCAGAAATTCACCACGGCTCCTTCAATAGCACTTTCCGAACCTACAACCACCATGATCTAGAAGGAATGGGCAGCAGGTCCATGGAATCATCATCAGCTGCTAGATCCCCTCCAAGCCACATACCAACCTGACTTGGAAATATATCACTGTTCCTTTAGTGTCGCTGGGTCAAAATCCTGTAATTCTTGCCCTAAGGCATTGTGTGTCAACCTACAGCACATGGACAGCGGCAGTTTAAGAAGACAGCTCACCACCTTCTTAACAGCAACCATGGATGTGCAATAAATGTGGCCAGTCAGCGACACCCTTTTCCCATGAGTAAATTTAAAAACAGTAATCTGTTCTCTTCCCAAGAGATAAGTAACCTTGGAACTACTAATCGAGTACATCAGGAAACCAAATCATTCTTCAATATCTGCAAGAAGGATGGCTTCGATTTGTCACATTTTACTTGGGACAAATTTCCTGACCAATTAATCTGAAATGTGCCTATTTATACAATAGCACCATTCTACTGCTACCAGTTCTGGTTTAGATCCAATCTCTGTCTTATTTTGATTCAATCATGGGTTGGTCAATTAGAAGAAAGAAAATGTTCCTCTTGAAATTAATAGAACATAACAATGAAATTGTATCCCTACAAAAAAAATTAAAGGTGACATTTCCGGGGATACTGATGTGCTCCGAGTAAACCTGACCAGCTTCCGATTCCACAACATTCTGCACTCTGATTGCTCTCATATTTGCACCCACACCCCTCTAACCACCAGCAACCATGGGTCTCCAAAAACCTATTGCCACTCACATCCCACGCATCCATGAGCTTTGATCCTCTCCACTGTCTTCTTCCTCCCGTACTGTGAGCCTCCCCAACAACTCCAGCTTCAAGGCAGTCTACCCATTATGCCTCCTCTCTTACAGCCACTTTCAGTGTAACATTACCTCCGCACCCCAAACCATCAACTATTCTTCCATCAACATCCTCCTCTTCTGGTTTCTTAGTGACCTTCACAGTTTGTGCACCCCTCCCACCCACACCTCATAGCCAATGCAAAGACAAGCATGTCAATTAGACTGGCCTCTGGGCAGAAAGCAGGTCGGTTCCATCACCGACATCCTTGGGGAAATCCCACATCTCTGATGGACCAGCTTCCTGCCAGTCAGGTAAGCATTCAACACCATGACAAATGCAAATATACCATTCATATTGGCTGGCATAACCTGAGACATTTATCCACAGGGATACCTTACCTCCGAGCAAGCCAGATGTTTGATATTATGGAACCAATCGACATGTGCGCGGCAGTGATCAAACGTGTGTATTAATTCATGGGTCACAACCCGATTCATGTGCTGCTGCTGATGGATGTTATTCTGGCATAAAACAATCTTGAATGCAAAGACACAAGACGTGTATGATACAGAGTGCACAGCTGTACTGCAAAATGGTGTGAAGATTCACTGTTACAGAGATAGTAGGGACTGCCGATGCTGGAGAATCTGAGATAACAAGGTGTAGAGCTGGATGAACACAGCAGGCCAAGCAGCATCAGAGGAGCAGGAAGGCTGACGTTTCGGGTTGAGACCCTTCTTCAGAAATGGGGGAGGGAAAGGGGATTCTGAAATAAATAGGGAGAAAGCGGGAGGCGGATAGAAGATGGATAAAGGAGAAGATAGGTGGAGAGGAAACAGACAGGTCAAAGAGGCGGGGTTGGAGCTAGTAAAGCTGAATGTAGGTGGGGAGTTAGGGAGGGGATAGGTCGGTCCAGGGAGGACGGACAGGTTAAGGAGGCGGGATGAGGTTAGTGGGTAGGAGATGGGGGTGGGGCTTGAGGTGGGAGGAATGGTTAGGGAGGCGGGGACGAGCTGGGCTGGTTTTGGGATGCGGTCGGGGGAGGAGAGATTTTGAAGCTTGTGAAGTCCACATGGATACCCTTGGGCTGCAGGGTTCCCAAGCGAAATATGAGACGCTGTTCCTGCAGCTTTTGGGTGGCATCATTGTGGCAATGCAGGAGGCCCAGGATGGACATGTCGTCCAAAGAGTGGGAGGGGGAGTTGAAATGGTTCGCAACTGGGAGGTGCAGTTGTTTGTTGCGAACCGAGTGTAGGTGTTCTGCAAAGGGGTCCCCAAGCCTCCGCTTGGTTTCCCCGATGTAGAGGAGGCCACAACAGGAACAGTGGATACAGTATACCACATTAGCAGGTGTGCAGGTGAACATCTGTTTGATGTGGAAGGTCTTCTTAGGGCCTGGGATGGGGGTGAGGGGGGAGATGTAGGGGCAGGTGTAGCACTTGCTCCGGTTGCAGGGAAAAGTGCCGGGGGTGGTGGGGCTGGAGGGGAGTGTGGAACGGACAAGGGAGTCACGGAGAGAGTGGTCCCTCCGGAAAGCAAATAAGGGTGGGGAGGGAAAAATGTCTTTGGTGGTGGGGTCAGATTGCAGATGGAGGAAGTGTCAGAGGATGATGCGTTGGATTCGGAGGTTGGTGGGGTGGTACGTGAGGGTGAGGGGGATTCTGTTTTGGTTGTTATTGTGGGGAGGGGGTGTGAGGGATGAGTTGCGGGAAATGCGAGAGACATGGTCGAGGGTGTTTTTGACCACTGTGGAGGGGAAGTTGCGGTCCTTGAAAAACAAGGACATCTGGCATGTCCGGGAGTGGAATGCCTCATCTCCAGAGCAGATGCGGCGGAGGCGAAGGAATTGGGAATAGGGGATGGCCTTTTTGCAGGAAGGCGGGTGAGAGGAGGTGTATTCTAGGTAGTTGTGGGAGTCGGTAGGCTTCAAATGGACATCGGTTTCCAGGTGGATGCCAGAGATGGAGACAGAGAGGTCCAGGAAGGAGAGAGAGGTATCAGAGATGGTCCAGGTGAACTTAAGGTTGGGGTGGAAGGCATTAGTGAAGTGGATGAACTGTTCGAGCTCCTCATGGGAGCACGAGGCGGCGCTGATATAGTCATCGATGTAACGGAGGAAGAGGTGGGGGATAGGGCCAGTGTAGCTTTGGAAGAGGGATTGTTCCATGTATCCTACAAAGAGGCAGGCATAGCTTGGGCCCATGCGGGTACCCATGGTCACCCCCTTTGTCTGTAGGAAGTGGGAGGAATTGAAGGAGAAATTGTTAAGGGTGAGGATGAGTTCAGCTAAGCAGATGAGGGTGTCAGTGGAGGGGGACTGGTCAGGCCTGCGGGACAGGAAGAAGCGGAGGGCCTTTAGGCCATCTGCATGGGGAATACAAGTGTACAGGGACTGGACGTCCATGGTGAAGATGAGGTGTTGGGGACCAGGGAATAGGAAGTTTTGGAGGAGGTGGAGGGCGTGGGTGGTGTCATGGACGTAGGTGGGGACTTCCTGTACCAAGGGGGAGAAAATGGAGTTGAGATAAGTGGAGATGAGTTCTGTGGGGCAGCAGGCGGAGACAATGGGTCGACCAGGGCAGTCAGGTTTGTGGATCCACAAAATCCACAAACCTGCAGGAACAGCATCCCATATTTCGCTTGGGAACCCTGCAGCCCAAGGTATCAATGTGGACTTTCCAAGCTTCAAAATCTCCCCTCCCCCGACCGCATCCCAAAACCAGCCCAGCTCGTCCCCGCCTCCATAACCATTCCTCCCAACTCAAGCCCCACCCCCATTTCCTACCCACTAACCTCATCCCGCCTCCTTGACCTGTCCATCCTCCCTGGACCGACCTATCCCCTCCCTAACTCCCCACCTACATTCACCTTTACTAGCTCCAACCCGTCTCTTTGACCTGTCCGTCTCCTCTCCACCTATCTTCTCCTTTATCCATCTTCTATCCGCCTCCCCCTCTCTCCCTATTTATTTCAGAATCCCCTTCCTCTCCCCCATTTCTGAAGAAGGGTCTCGACCCAAAACATCAGCTTTCCTGCTCCTCTGATGCTGCTTGGCCTGCCGTGTTCATCCAGCTCTACACCTTGTTATATCTGAAGATTCACTGTTATTGGTTATAAACTTTCCTGTTGTTACATGGCATACTTTTAAAGTGTAATCCATGACAATGTTACTGTGCTTCCAAAATGTGAAGAGGTAACTGTAAGAAAATATAGCAGAAGTTTCAAGTACAAGATGACTTTAAGTTACAAAGTTCAGTTTACTTGCAATGAACTTATCACAATGAAGATCAAGTTACCCTCAGACATATTTTAATTATCAATTAAGCAAAGTGGCTACAAGCACATACCCTTTAAGTCCTAGTTCATCAGATCAGGAGAAAATGTCACAAATTTAAGAACATTGTTGGTTTCCTTGTTATTGTAGGTGACAATTTATTGCATGCATAGGGTCAAATGTTATGCCTATGAAGATGGCTGTGGTGCCCAATTGTCCAAATCTTACTTTAATCAAATACCATCCTTAATCTTTCCTGCAGAGGTTTCTCTTTCTCAATGGAACGTATTTTTGATGAACATTTTGGATTGTGTCTTTTAAGAGTTTCACATAAACTGCCATAACTGTAACTCAATTTTCCCAATCAATCATAGCTAGCTCTTCCCTCATAAACAAGAATGAAACCAGTTACATATTTAAAATTCTTGTTGATATGGTGCTTTCAAGTTTAACCTGGACAACACTACATCTAAAAACAGCTCCACCACATCGTTCTTCAGAAAACTGTACCAAAAGCAGTCAGGAACTGACAAATCACCAATTTGTCCAATGTATATGATGTTTAAAGTCCCCATAACTATTATATTGACTTTGCTACAAACTCCAATTATTTTTGTTAAATTTTCTCTCCACTAAATCCCACCAGGTTCAAAACTTAAAAACAAAACATTAAAAACTTGGAATACAAACCTGGGCAGCATTAAAAATTCTTTGAACCTGAGAGTGTTATGAAGTATTACTACTTTGATTTTTCAGTTTTATGTAAATGAAACAAAATTATACTACTTTTTCCTCACAGTTGTACTGATCTGGGATCAGTGCTTTAAATGCCTGAGGCCGTTAAACCTAGCTTCAAGTTAAGGAAAACAGGTTAATGACACTGTTAAAGTACCTGGGGAACTTCTCTTGAAATTTTTGACTGGTTCATTAAAGCTTGTGTACTGAAGAATACCTAACTTCAAATGTTTTTACAAACGTGTCAGCATTATATTTGGCTAATGAGACATATTGTGGAGGAGTGCCCATAAAACAATTGTAGCCTCAGTCCTCAGAGAAAGAAAGAACCAGTTTTAGGGAGGAGGGAAGCTATTTAGCTGAAATACCCCACCAATTTGATTTTCACCCAACTGTAGTGTGAATCTTGAACTTCTTCCCTCACCCAACTTCAAACTCAATTTCTTTCCTAATGGTTTGTATATCAATAGACTGCCGGGTCTTATTAATTATGTTGCAACCACAGGAAACTATGGGTGGAATCTATGCCTTCTGCTGCAGTGAGTTTGGTGGTGGGGAGAAATTTAGTTAGGCAGGCAGATGGATACTCAACCACCATCTTGCCTTCACCCCAATTACATTTGTAGTGGATGGCCCATGAACAGCGTTCCTGCCCCGCTGTCTAACAAGGCCCTTAATGATCCTACAAAATGTCCACTTAAGGGCCACATGCTGCCACCACTGACATAAACCCTGCAGTGAGCAGGGGCCTGTCCACGCAGAAGCATGACAAGCGAAACCCAGCGTCTGGCTTCTTGGCAGGAGAGGACCAGCGTTATCATTTAAAGACAGTTCACACCTGAGCAAGGAACATAATACCAGGAAAGGAGGGTCCTGCTGAGGACCAATCCCCTGCCCTTGCTGCCAGCACCCTCTCCTGTGACTCCAAGCCTCCTGCTATCATTCACCTTTAGCCTGCAACCTTAGCTTTTGTTGTACCAGCAACAGCCACCAACTCCCGCGTGGTGCTATCATTCAGTACAGCTGCCACAGCCTCCGGATTCTGGGGAAAGCTGCTGCTGGTGTGTCAACTGCTTGATCGGCTCAAGATGTCGTGATCCAAATGCATTACCTGAACGGGTGGTGGAAGCAGATTCAATGGTAACAATCAAGAATGAATTGGATAAGTGCTTATAGAGGATAAATTTATGGCATATGGGGCAAAGAACAGGGGAATGAACTCATTATTGTATTGTTCTTTCTAATATGCTCCTTAGAATGGTGACCCAAGAAGGCACTTGCTATGCTGGATTAAACTGGATTAGGTACTTTACCTACCTGTGATATTTCAGCATCAAAACCACCACTGACTGTTCCATCACAATCTTCACAGGAAAAATGACGATCTCTATAAACGGCACTGAAACACGAAACATTTTAACTATCATGTACTTATTCTTGTCACAGACTCCTTTTACACATAATTTTAAATGACTATTTTAAAGCAGCAGCAAAATACTGTGGATGCTGGAAATTTCAAATACAATCAGAAATACTGGAGACTCTCAGCAGCACAGATGGAGAAACAGAATTAATGGGTGAGATTTTTAACTTATTCAAAACTCATCCATTTGCAGAGTCATATCTGACCCAATACTCAGCACAATGGCCTTTCATTGGATCTGGACGATGTTGGAGATGAATAAAATTTTAAGCACTGGGGCGGGGTGACGATTCCAGGTAACCATTTAAAGTTCCTCTTAACCCATTGTACGCCTGGGGATAAATAATTACAACATTCTGGGGATATTTGTTTATGATACCCTGCAGGCTTTGATCAATTCCAGGAATTCCTGTACACAGTTACAATCTAAATGAATTCTCCTGGTCAATATTAAATTGTACTATTAGATTACGTCTTCTTTTTCAAGCAAGACATTGGTTAGGTCACTTTTAGAATACTGCGTTCAATTCTGGTCTCCCAATATAAGAAAAGTGTTGATAAACTTTTAAGAGTTCAGAAAAGATTTGTAAAGGACGCTGCCAGGCTTGGAGGGTTTGAGCTATAGGGAGAGGCTGGGGCTATTTTCCCTGGAGCACTGAAGGCTGAGTGACCTTATACAGGTTTATAAAATCATGAGGGGCATGGATAGGGTAAATAGCCAAGGTCCTTTCCGCATAGTAGGGGAGTCCAAAACTAGAGGGCATAGATTTAAGGTGAGAGGGGAAAGATTTAATAGGGACCTAAAGGCCAACTTTTTCACACAGAGGGTGGTGCGTGTATGGAAAGAGCAATCAGAGGAAGTGGAGGACACTGCTACAATAACAACATTTAAAAGGCATTGAGATGGGTACATGAAAAGGAATGGTTTAGAGGGATATGGGCCAAATACTGGCAAATAGGACGACATCAGTTTAGAGTATCTGGTCGGCATGGATGAGTAGGACCAAAGGGTTTATTTTCATGCTGTATAATTCTATAAGAGAATTTTGATTAAATAAAAAGAATAAAGGAAAGTGTACACATGCATGTCTGAATAATAGAGACAGTAACAGTTGTTTGTATAGATGATGACTACAGTGTAACATATACAGAGGGTGACAAGGTAGAATAAAGGTACTATCAATCAATCACAGGTTGAGAAAATGGCTTTCTATTGAGGTTGTTGACTTGCTCGTCGAGCTGGCTTGTTTGCGTTCAGACGTTTTGTCACCATGCTAGGTAACATCATCAGTGGAGCCTCCGATGAAGCAAAGTTGTTCTATTCCGCTTGGAATTTATACTGTCCAGTCCGTTATGGTGGGTAGTGTCATTTCCGGTTTTGTTCTGTATGAGTTTGTATATGGGGTCCAATTCTATATGTTTGTTGATTCCTTTTCTTTATTCATTCACGAGATGTGGGCATCGCTGGCTAGGCAGCATTTATTGCCCATCTCAACTGCCCTCTGGGCAATTAGGGAGTCAACTGCTGTGGGTCTGGAGTCACAGGTAAGGATGGCAGTTTCCTTCCCTAAAGGGCATTAGTGAACCAGATGGGTTTTTCCAACAATCAGCAATGGATTCACGGTCATCATCAGATTCTTAATTTCGGATATTTTATTGAATTCAAATTCGACCATCTGCCATAGCAGGATTCAAACCCAGGTCCCCAGAACACTATCTGGGTCTCTGGATTAATAGTCCAGCGATAATACCACCAGGCCAGCGCCTCCCCGCGTTGCATAACAGGTTGCGAACCATACCTCTGGGAATTCCCGTGCATGTCAGTGTTTGGCTTGGGCTACTATAGTTATGTTGTCCCATTTAAACTGATGGCCTTCCTCGTCAGAGTGTACTGATATTAAGGAAAGTTCATTGTGTCATTTAGCTGCTAGCTGATGTTCATGTATTCTGATGGGTAGTTTCCTTCCTGTCTGTCCGATGTAATGTTTGTGGTAGTCGTTGCACGGTATTTTGTAAACCATGTTAGTTCTGCATGTTGTGGGAACGGGATCTTTATCCTTATAAGTGTTTGTCGTAAAGTGGCTGTGAGCTTGTGTGCTACCATGATTCCTTGTGGTCTTAGGAGAATCATTGTCAGTTCTGATATGCTCCTGATGTAGGGCAGTGTGGCCAGTATGTTAGGGCGCACTATGTCCTCTTGTTGTTGTCTATTTAGTAGGCACTTGTGGATGAAGTTGTGGGGATATCTGTTCATAGCGAAGAATTTGTATAGGTGCTCTTCCTTTCTCCTGCGTAGTTCTGGAGTGTTGCAGTGAGTGGTAGCCCATTTCAGTAGTGTCCTAATGCAGCTTCGTCTGTGGACGTTGGGGTGGTTGCTGTGGAAGTTGAGGATTTGGTCAGTGTGGGTTGCTTTCTGAGGTTTGCAACTCCCCATTGGTCATTTGCTCAACTCTGATATCCAGAAATGGAAGCCGATTGTTGTTTTCTTCTTCTCTTGTGAATTTAATCCCCGTAAATACGTTGTTGATGAGGTGGTGGGTCTGTTCTAGTTTTTGTTGCGTCTAATAATGAAAAGATCTGTTGTCTATGTACTGGATCCATAGTTTAGGTTGAGTGCGGGGGAGGGTGGTGTGTTCTAGTCTTTGCATGACTGCCTCTGCACTAAGTCCTGAGATGGGTGACCCCATAGGTGTGCCATTGATCCATTCGTACACTTGACCATTAAAGACGAAGTGTGCACTGAGGCATAGGTCTAGTAGTTTGAATATGTTGTCATTGCTGATGGAGCTGCTGGTCTGCGTTCCTGCTTCTTCTAGTCAAGCGGCCAGTGTTTCTTTGGCTAGTGGGATGTTGATTGACGTGAATAATGCTGTAACGTCAAAGGATGCCACAATCTTGTCATCATTGATTTTTATGTTCTTGAGGGTATTGAGGAATTCTTGAGTTGAGTGGATGGAATGGGGTGATCCGTCAACTAGGTGTTTCAGTCTCTGTTGTCGGCTCTTGTCTAGTTTGTGTGAAGGTGTGCTCGGTAGGGAGACAATGGGTCTGAGAAGGATGTCTGGTTTGTGTACTTTAGGAAGCCCATAGAAGCGGGGATGTTCGTGCCTTCTAGTTTCATTCTCATGTTGTCTGTCTTGGTTATCTGTCCTGCATCCTTTAGTCTCTTCAGCATCTGGGTGATCCTATTACCTAGCCTGTGGTGTTAGGTCTATCGCCACCTATTGGTAAGTGTTTGTATCTGTGGGAAATGCCTGTGCTTTTTTAACGTAGTCCAGTTTGTTCATAATGATGGTCATGCGCCCTTTGTCCGCTGGTAGGATTATAATGTTCTTGTCTTTCTTGAGTTTATCTAGTGCATTTCTCTCTGATGTGTTCAGGGTGTCCCATTCATTCCTTCCGTTTAGTGTGGGGATTATAGTTTGTCAGATGGCTTGTTGTGTTTCCTCCGTGAGTCTGTCGTCTTTTAATATAGATTCCAGGGCGGCCATGAAGTCTGTTCTTTTGCATTTTTGTGGTTATAGTTCAGTCCGCGTAATAGGACAGCTTTTTCAGTTTGTGTGAGTCGTCTGCTGGATAGGTTTCTTATCTATGTGTCTGATTTGTTGTTGTCCTTGTCTTGTTGTGGATCAGTTTGGTGAGTTTCTCCTGTAGCTTCTGTCTCTTTTTAATTTTGGTCTTGTACTGATTGATGGTGATGGCCTTTTCTAGGGTTATAGTCCACTGCTGGTCCATAGTGTTCAGATACTGTGAGTTTTGATGCCTTCGTATTACAGGAAAGCAACCCACACTGACTAAATCCTCAACTTCCACAGCAACCACCCCAACATCCATAAACAAAGCTGCATTAGGACACAACTCACTGCAACACTCCAGAACTATGCAGGAAAGAGGAAGAGCACCTATACAAAATCTTCACTATGAACAGATATCCCCACAACTTCATCCGCAAGTGCCTACTAAATAGACAACAACAAGAGGACACAGTACACCCTAACCTACTGACCATGCTGCCATACATCAAGAACATATCAGAACTGACAACGAGACTCCTAAGACGACTAGGAATCATGGTAACACACAAGCTCACAGCCACTTTACGACAAACACTCACAAGGATAAAGTCCCCATTCCCACAATATGCAGAAGCAACGTGGTTTACAAAATACCATGCAACTACTGCCACAAACATTACACTGGACAGACAGGAAGGAAACTACCCATCAGAATACATGAACATCAGTTAGCAGCTAAACGACACGACGAACTTTCCTTAATATCAATACATTCGGGCAATGAAGGCTTTCAGTTTAAATGGGACAACATAACTATAGTAGCCCAAGCCATACACAGACACGCACGGGAATTCCCAGAGGCATGGTTCTCAACCTGTAATGCAATCAACAAACGTATAGAATTGGACCCCATACACAAACCCATACAGACCAAAACCGGAAATGACACTACTCACCATAACGGACCAGACAGTATAAATTCCAAGCAGAGTAGAGCAACATCGCTTCATCGAAGGCTTCACTGATGTTACCTAGCATGGTAACAAAACGTCTGAACGAAAAGAAGCCAGCTCGGTGAGCAAGTCAACAACCTCACCTACAACCTGAGCTACAAATCTTTGCTAAAACTTTAAATGGCTTCCTATTGCTCTTCTAAGATGCTACCATTTGAATGTGCCTCTTGAGCTGCTCGATAGCTTTAAAACAATTAATTTACACCAGTTTCTCTTCCAACTGAATAAGGAATCATCCAGTGTAATCCAGAAACTAAAAACTACTTTTGTCATACCAAATCTTATTTCAATACCGTTCGTTGATGATCCATATTTTAAAGTTAACCTACCCTCCCTTTCTTCACAATTCTGTGCTTCAGCATAATAAACACACTGCTAATACTTGCATTTATGACATATTAATGAATACGGAGAGGTGATGGCCTAGTGGTATCATCACTAGACTATTAATCCAGAGACCCAGGTACTGTTCTAGGGGTTCTAATCCTGCTTTGGAAGATGGTGAAATTTGAGCTCAATGAAAAGAAAATTTTGAATTAAGAATCTAATGATGACCATGAAATCATTGGTTGGAAAACCTCTGGTTCATTTAAAGTCCTTTAGAGAAGGATGCAGCTGTCCTTACCTGGCCTACATGTGACGCCAAACCCAAAGCAATGTGGTTGACTCTCACTGCCCTCTTGGCAATCAGGGATGGGTAATAAATGTTGGTCTAGCCAGTGACGGCCAGAGCCCGTGAATGAATTTTAAAAAGTCCATTCTATTGGTTAAAAACAGATCTCAGTGCTAATTTAGATAAATTAGGCATACAACAGCTGGACGGTTGATAATAACAGATTAAATTGAAAGATTAAACTTACCATCCTGAACTTTTCATAGCATCTATTAGAAGTTTTGCATATGGACCTGCAGAAATCAGATTGCAATGTTCATATTGACCATTAACTTGGAATTAGAAAGTTTATGCAAAATTGATCAAACTGGTGATTGATTCTTAAAAAGTTGGACAAAACAGCAAAAATGTTCTACTTCAGAAGAAAAAAAACTGTGTAACCCAAATACACTTTGGATGGCATTTAGAGAACCAAGGATGAAGATGAAAGAAAACCTCAAGTCTAAGTGATGCAGATTTCCACATTTACAGTCTACAATTTGTAAATCATCCTTACATCATACAAAGGCAACCCTGACTTATTTTGATCAGAATAACAGTGAGTCGACAAAAGGTTAAATTGCGAGGACAATTTTCATGGATGACACTTTTATTCACTTGTCCCAGAGCAGGAAAGCATAATCTTAACATTAGAAGTAGGCCTTTTAGAAATAATGTCAGAAAGAGTTGCTTCACACAAAGGCAATGGAACTTTTCTCCAAAATGGTGTGGAGGTTAGATGTCAATTGAAATTTAAAACTAAGATTATTTTTTTTTGTTAACTAGGGGCATGATTATTTAGGAAACAAAGTTAGGAAATCAGAGTCAATGTGCAGATCAGCCATGAATGGAAATATTGTCTAAAGGGATTGAATAACCTGCTACTATCCTTTGTTCCCAACAACTAAGCACCATCTTAATTTGCTGTCTGCAAACTCCTCACCTCCCACAAACATGAGGCGCTTATGTCGGAAAACTTTGAAATCTGCATCGCTTAGACCTGAGGGCTTAAGGAAACGAAGGTGGGAGCTGTATCTAGAGGAATGACCATAGCTGGAGAGAATTAGAGGGCAAGTGTACTGAAGATGGAAATTCAAAGCTTGACATGGTGGGTCAATTGTATTGTGAATAGAGAGGTAAAGGCAAGGAAGTTCAGTTGTAAACGTCTTGGGGAAGTTTTGTACGGAAATACCAAATTCACCAAATCAGTAAATACTCAAATCGTCCATTCAGCTTCTACTGCCAAAACTCTCCTTCCCCTCAGCCCACCAAACTAAGCTTCCTCCAAGATTCTTTGAAACTGGATTGATTGCGCAGGGAAATAAACTGTTGGAATGTAGAGATTCTCCAGAAATCCAGATAGTCAATATTTTATTATTGCTTGCGATCATAATGTTGGAAGCATCTCAAAGCAGTCAAGGTCCACTCAATGACTTTGCTAGAATGTGTCTGTTTAAACTGCAAAGTATTTGGGAGGTGCCAAGTGCTCATTTGAAGGCTTTTTGAACAGCATGATGGAATGTTAAGCTCATGTCCTATTCTCCATGCTCCAGTAGTTCAGGTAGAATACTAAATAGCCCATTCAGTTGCAGTTAGAGAGCAGGAAGTTTCCCTGATATAACAAGGTGTAGGGCTGGATGAACACAGCAGGCCAAGCAGCATCAGAGGAGCAGGAAAGCTGACATTTTGGGTCGAGACCCTTCTTCAGAAATTGGTTTCTTTAGAATATTCCTCAGTTTGGCAACACCCAAAAACACATTAACTGGTCATCCACCTCAAGTTGACTATAGCAGTGTTACTACACCTCAAAATAATCATACAAAATAGTTTTAGAACTAGTAAGAATTGCAAGTGATTGACAACTATTCACTGTCATGCCTTACTGTCCATTTACAAATAATCATTAACCCAAATGGAGCTAGTGATTCTACATCTGAACAACAAGCATTTATTCCAGTTTTAGCTGCTTTTGCTCAGTAGCTTACACATATCTATTTCACCCTTGATATCATTCTAGGCTGTTTAAGCCACAGTTGATAAAATGAGATTATATGAACTGAGCTCAGGACAATTATATACTCTTTAAAACATTCTCAAACAAAATAGCTTACTACTAATCATGCAATCGAGCTGCTACCAAAATTCTGTAGAAGGGTCACTAGAATTGAAATTATTAATTCTGTTTTCTTTCCATATATGCTGCCAGATCTGCTTAATTTTTCCAGTAATTTATGTTGTTTCTTTGTCTCAGATCTCCAGCATTCACAGTTCTTTGTAATGTTCATAGATGTGTGTTTGGTGGTAAGCTTTATGATCTGTATTTTAGTAATTAGTGGATGAGTGTAGGATTGATATTAAAAATACAGGCTTGTGCCATGATCAGAAGTTACTACTGCAGATGTGATTTGGACTTCAGGTTAAAGTAACATTCAGTGGTTTTAGATCAGTATTAGGATTAGCGGGTAACATACAGTTAACGGAAACTAAGGGCCATGAACATAGGAGAGAAGTATTAATAAAATAAATGGGAATTGATGCTGAGCTTCAAGGGAAAAGTGCAGAAGGGCCCGAGAGGTTAGAGTAGAGTACAATGGACAGAAATTAAAAATGTTCTGAAGGTCTGGATCACATTTTCTCAAAGAATAGAAATGTTCTGAAAACCAGTCACCCAAACTGTCTTTGTGCTTCCTAATGTACAAAAGACAGCAGTGTTTGCAAATAACTATGGTAATCTAAATGGAAATAAGTCAAGGTAAATTGCTGTTTTACCACGAAGGTGGGAAGGGTAAAGGTAGAGCACTAACAACACTCAAGCACGTAAGCAATCCAAATTCAAGTGCAACAATATCCAGGCTTGGATTGAAAAGTGACAAGTTGGTATTTGTCCCACACAAATACCAAGGAATGAACATTTCCAATAAGAGACAATCTAACCATTTACATTCAATGACGTACCATCATTGAATCTCCCACAATCAACATCCAGGGCTTTGCTATTGGCAGAGATTGATTGTTGTAGAACAGAGAGATCTAGGGTCCAGATAGTTTATTAAAAGTTGCATCACCGGCAGAATGGTAAAAGCGGCGTTTGGTCCAAGCAATAAAGGCAAGCATGCCATTCAGTATAAGAGGTGGGACATCATGTTGCAGTTGTACAGGATGTTGGTGAGGCCACTTGGGAATACTGTATTCAGTTCTGGTCACCCTGTGGCACTAAAGGTATTATTAAATTGGAGAGGGTGCAGAAAAGATTTACAAGGATGTTACTGGATTGGGAGGGTTTAAGTTATAAGGGGTAGCTGGATAAGCTGTAACTTATTCCATTGGAGCGTAGGAGGTTTGGTGGGGGGGTGGGGGGGGGGGGGGGGCTTATAAAGGTTAATAAAATCTTGAGGGGCACAGATAAGGTAAATAGCAAAGGTCTTTCCCTTAGGATTGGGGAGTTCAAAACTAGAGGGCATAATTTTAAGGTGAGAGGAGAAGGACTTAAAAGGGACCTGAAGGACAACCCTTTCACACAAAGGGTAGTTCATATGTGAAATGAGCTGCCAGAGGACGTGCTAGAGGCAGGTACAGTTACAACACAAGACATTTGGACTGATACATGACCAAGAAAGGTTTAGAGGGATATGGGGCAAAAGCAGGCAAATGGGACTAGTTTAGCTTGGGAAACTTGGTCGAAGCATGGTGACCGAAGCATCTGTTTCCGTGCTGTATGACTGACTACGACTACATAATACAGTGGCTGCACGAGCAGGTCAAGGCTAGGAATACTGCAGGGAATAACTCACTTCCTGACTTGCCATAGCCTATCCAGCATCTACAAGGCTGAAGTCAACAGTGTGATACAATAATCCCCACTTGTCTGGATGAGTGCAACTCCAGCAATATTCAACACTTCCACAAACATTCACTTCCTCCACCACCAATACTCAATAGCAGCAGTGTGTACTATCTACAAGATGCAGGGCAGAAATTCACATTGGCTCCTTAGACTGCACCTTCCAAATTCACAACTACTTCCTTCGAGAAAGACAAGGCCAGCAGATACATGGGAAGTCGACCATATGCAAGTTTCCCTCCAAGCAACTTACCATTCTGACTCAAGATATATTGCCGTTCCTTCACTGTTGCTGGATCAAAGTCCCAGAATTCCCTCCCTAAGTGCATTGTGAGTCTACTTACAGCACAAAGAACAATAAAGTACAGGACCAGGCCCTTCAGCACACCAGGACTGCACCAACACATAATACTTTTCTATACTAAAAGCCTTTTGTCTCTGTGAAGCCATATTCCTCTATTCCATATCTATTCATGTATCTGTTAAGATGTTCAAAGATGTACAGATTAGGTGGATTGGCCATGCTAAATTGCCCGTAGTGTCCAGGGATGTGCAAGTTAGGTGGATTAGCCATGGGAAATGCAGAATGACAGGGAAAGGGAAGAGATGGGTCTGGGTGGGATGCTCTTCAGAGGGGCAGTGTGGACTTGTTGGACCGATTGTCCTGTTTCCACACTGTAGGGATTCTATGATCTTATGTTGTTATTGCATCTGTCCCCACTACCTCCTCTGGCAGTGCATTCCAGACACTTATCACCTTCTGTATAAAAAGAAAACTTGCCTCTCACATCCCCTTTAATTTTTCTCCCTTTTCCCTTAAACCTATGTACCCTAGAAATTGACATTTCTAACCTGGGAAAAAGGCTCTGACTATCCATTCTATCCATACCTCTCATAATTTTGTAAACTTTCATCAGGTTGCTCCTCATCCTTTGATGTTCAAGTGAAAACAAACCAAGTTTGTCCACTCTCTCTTCATAGCTAATGCTCTTCAAACCAGGCAACATCCTGGTAAATCGTTTCTGTACCTTCTCCAAAGCCTCCACCATATAGGGTGTGGCAACTTGAGCTGTACACAATATTCCAAATGTGGCCTAACTAGAGTTCTACACAGCTGAAATGTGAAATGCAGCTATACACCAACTTCTCAAAGGCAACTAGGTACAGGCAATAAATACAATGGCGCAAACGTCTCACGAGTGAATTAGAAAAAAAGTTCAGCATCATCCAGGGCAAGGCTGCGCACTTGATGAGCACCCCATTCACCATTTACAATATTCACTCCCTCCACCACCATGCATGGCCCCCATAGGATGTATCATTGATAAGATGCAACAACTCATCCACTCTACTTAGTCAGCATGTTCCAAACCCAAGACCATTCCCATTTAGAAAATGTTCATCCTGGAGTTCAGTTACCAGTGGTGT